GAGGTACAGATCTTGTTTCTTTTTTCTGCAAATGGATCTCCAGTTTTGCCAGCACCATTTATTAAACAAACATTCTCTTCCCCATTTAATGGATTTTGGACCTTTGTCAAAGATCAGCTGACTATAGGTTGTAGTGACTTAACCACAGTTTTCATTTTCTTTGTTTTTTTTGTATGTTATCTATGCAAGCAGGGTACTGTGCTCCTCTATTCACTAGCTGACAGCACTTATACACTCACCACCTATCTCTTTTCCTGTTGACAGCCTCTCATATGTCCCTGCTAACCTTGGCAAACAGAGCCTATTCGTAGGTCCCTGGAATCTGAATGAGAATGCTATCACTTTAAAATCCAAAATGGTTGTCACTTGTAGAGATTCAAAATGGAAGCACCCTTGGTCACTTTAAATATCCAAAATGGCCACCACTTGTAAACATTAAAAATGGCTATGCCCTTGGTCACTTTAAATATCTAGACTAGTGGCCATGTGTAAACATTCAAAATGGCTGTGCCCTCCAGACAGCAGAAAGTCAACAGCTCAGGTTGTCTCCCACCTTGCTACTTAGTCATATGCCACCATCCTTATAGCCCTTGGTGACCAGGGCTGATCCCTAGGTCAATTCTCAGGTCCCAATACCACTTGGCAATATTCAGGTTGTTGATCCTGTCAGAGTAGCTGACAGTTCCCAGCTCTGTCCGTCTCTGTACTCACTATTTTCATTCTGGTTTTTCCACTAGTTGGTGCCTAATCCACTTCTATACAGTTCCTTTCAAAGCTCAGGGCTCCAGGATTATCTTCTGTATGTCTGTCAATTGGTTTTTCTTTTCTTTGTTGAAGAGGGTCTGTGTTACTTGTCTGCCTATTTCTCCATCTTACTGGAAGTCCCCAGAAAAGCTCTTAATCTTTAGTCTGTACTATATGTTGCGAAGTTCTTTATTGTTTGCTTTTAATTTTGTTTACGGTTTTTTCAATATGCAGAATATTTAAAAATATATACATGCTAATATCTACAACCTTTTCTTTCTACCTTAGAAATAAATTTTAACAGTTTAGAAATCCAACTACTTTTGATGTATACAGAATGCAGTGAGATTTTGGTTATTTCCAGAAAATGTACTTCCTCTTTCTTAATTTCTTCAGTTTTTAATGGAACTGTTACACTGGGAATTATCCTATTTCTATGACTTAGTTTCTCTAGGTAGCTAAGCATAATGTCAGAAAGGAACAGACATCTCAGGAAACATCTTCCCCAAACAACTGTTACTGTTCTCCCTCTAGTGCAAACAGCAGCTCAAGATCCTACATTTATATCCCCAACGTTGTCAAGATGCCACTTGTATTAAGTGCAGTCTTGTCACTGGAACCTGTGTTCCCTGAAGTTTCCTGAAAGCTGCACATTTTAGCCAGCTGTATCCCTAATGCAAGGATGTCTTGATGTCATTACTGCCTTAGAATTCTGCTGACACAATGGGACTTCACATGAATCTTTCTCTATAGTCTTGCACACCTCTACCTTCAGCACTGGTGTTCTGAAATTTGTCAGTCTCATGACCTAACTGTCATAAAGCTGGAAACAACCATGCATATTAAGAAAAACTACATGAAGACAGAACTGACAGCATAAGTATCTTATTATAGTTACGCTTACCGCAAGTAGAGTACTCTAGATTGAATGATGAATCTAAACAAGTATTTTAAGGCTTTCAAAGCAGCAAAAAGCAATTCTGTTTTGCTAGAGTCTTCTGCATTAGCCACATAAAAGTTCAGTACCTTGGAGAGTTTCCTGAAAAAGATGAGAAAGAGAAAAAATAAATCAATGAGGCAAAATGGAACTCTGAGCTTTAAGGTAGACTATATTGGAAGGAAATTTGACACACTGGGAAGGAAATGTCAAGTGGTGACATTTGACGAGTGGTGGTACTGGGAAGCAGAAGTCATAATTCTAATGATCTCTTCCAGAATCTACCCTGAACAAGGAAACTAACTCCTTTGCATTTTAGTTTCCTCACCTGCATTCTAAGTTTAGAACTTCCTTTCTTTTTGTGAGATTTAAAGGAAAAAAAAAAAGAGTAATCAAAAAATGAAAGAGTTGATGGGATCCAAGTCACAAGAATAGTTTAAGCTCTGGAATTTTATGCAGATATCTTCACATGCTGCCTGGGAGGGTGGGGCTATGAGTGCCTGATCTAGTTATCTCAAGTCAGATTCCTTCCGCTCTGCCCAAACGCTTTGAATTCCATAAATATATAGTCAGATGAAAATTTCATTAAGTATGGGGAGAGGAGCTCAGTCTGAATCACTGGAACACCCAGGGTTCTCAGCATCCCACCAGATAAAATGGTTCTGGGATTAAGATTTCTCTTTGTGTCTTTCTAGAGTCTTCTGACTAGGGATGATCTTGATCTTGTGCTAACTCAGTCTTCTGAGAGTACTGATTATTTTGAACTTTCTTTCTGAGTATTTCTGAGGTTTTCCAGTATTATCATAACTCTAAAGGGAACATGGGGAATTGATCAAGTCTTACAATTATTACTAGTAATACAGGGTAGGGTTTCCTCACTTGGAAAGTGAGGGTACTTATTGAAAGAATCCTATCAGTGGTATATCCACTGTTTTGCCCAATCCAGTGGGCATTACATCCATAATGCTACATGATCCCTCTTTTAGGTAACTTATATTTCTTATATCTCTGGACCTTCATACAAATACAAGCAAGAATTTCCTTGTTCAGATTTAAAAAAGAAAACAAGGGATGAATGATCTGGCCTGACAGATCAGCAGACCACAACCAGACATGATCTGCTAGGTCATTGTGAAAAAGGTCATTTACCAATCCCAGCTATATTCATGTTATTGCTTAAAAACATTTATCATTCTTTAATTGATTTATAAGCATTTTTAATCAGTAAAGCCTTTAACGTTCAATCTGTACAATATGCAGGAAACTTTTTCATTGTTTGCTACTATTTATTGCATTGCCCTGCACAATAATTGGAATGCAATGGGATGGGGGCGGGGGGCAGGTGGCAGGCTACTACAATGTCATCCTGAGTGGGCACTTCAGGATGAAGTGCACAGTATTAGTTACTTTCCTTAGTCTCCAGCTCATAAACCAAAGATCAAAAGAAGACTGCACTATGGAAAAAGTAGGGGCCATTCTGCCTGATGCATAAGATGTGAAAAGCAGAGTTTCTTATAACCTAAAAGTAACAGATTCTACAAAGCACTTGTGGTACAGAGTTGATGGCACAGCCTGCTCTTCTATCAGACTTGGCCTTGCTTAATTCACTGTTTGATCCCTTTGGTACCTCACGCCAATCCCACTAACACCCAATTCCTAAGATGCTGAGTATGGTCATCTGTCCTTGATTCTGCACTGCTGCTCCTGACTGGCTAGACTGCTCATCAGTATGCTTTTGACCATTAAAGAGCTATGGCCTTATTTCTGCTGTAATCTCCCGCAAGCAAGAGCCTGAACCTGACACCATTTCTAGGGTTAAAATACTTAGATTGTTCCCTCTTGCCATCACCAAGCTCAGAAGAAAGTTCTGCAGACAGAGGCACACTGACTCAGCTTATGCCCTTCTCATTTCTCAACAACCCAGCCCTAAGAGTACAAATCCAACAATATGTAGTTCCCTTGAATGATACTTACACATATGCCAAAGTGGCACTGAAGTGCTTGTAAATGTAGGTTTCAAGTACAGGATTAAAATGTTGGAACTTGATGTCTCCTATCAGTGAAATAATAAATACCTGCCAAAAGTGAAAAACACAAATAACAGCACTGCTCAGCCCCAGGCATTCTATCCATAAGCTGCACTCTATTATCCTGGTGCCTTCTTTCCTTTCTTCATCATTTTTACAGCTTCCTCACTTCATTATTTCAGAACTGAACTCCAGTCTCACAGATTTTAACATGTTTATTTAACATGGACAGAGGGAGGACTATGTGTCACGCATGGCGAAGAAACCAGTAAAAACCAGCATCCCTAACTTCACAGAGCTTATTGTCTCACAGAAAAGGTGCTCAGGGTACTAGTAACATAAGACAGGGAAAAAGATAGGACAAGAGGAAAGAGGATATGAAAAGGGGTTTTTGTAAGAATTCCTAAGGATGCAGCTCTTTAAACATCCCACAACATTTTTCTTCTGAAAATGTTAGTACCCCTAATATCTGAACTTCATTAGAGTTTTGTCTCCCAATTTCCCCCTTGAATGTTAATTGTCACTGCTGTCTGGTGCATAATCTGAAAATAACCATATTGCACGGACTTATGGCAGAAAAGTGTGAAGGGAAGGGCGCACAGGTCTTCCACAAACACCCACGGCTACCTGCTCAATGCCTCATAAATTTGTCTCCAGGACTTTTCTTTTGGAGTCCACACCCTTAGTCTCTCTTTCCCATAAGCCTGACAAGATGTGATCTTAGATAGAGGCATTTCCTCTTTGTCTTACATTTATAGCTTGAATGCCTTGATCACTTCCTGAACTTACCAGTTTCTCCAAGTTGGTGAACGACCTAAAGGTACAATTTACCTTCCTTCTCAGCTGGCACAGTGAGGTACAATTCAGCACTGTATTTTAACCTCAAGGATGAGGAAAGGATGCTTACCAATGTAGGTTTGGATGTGTCTGCGTCCCTCTCTTAATTGACAATTCTGGCTTTCTCAGATTCTGATATCATCTACTCAATGAGACTAAGATTCATTTCTGTCTTGTGAATTTAGTATTCCTTGCATATACACACAACAGCAATTTGCTGTGTTAATTACTGCTACCTACTGGATTACAACTAGATGGTTATAACATGTGTTAAACGTGGTTCCTGACTTCTGTTGTAACAAAACTACCTTGATTTTCCCAATGAGAAAGAGAGAGCATATCAGAAAGTGTTTGCTAACAGGAAACAAGGAGATAAAGACTTTAAATATTAGTCAACCATTTTTATTTTCCTTCTATGAATTTAATCTAAAGAAATAATCAGAGAGAAGCATACAAATACTTATGCAGAAGGATATCCATCACAATTGTTTATACAGTAAAACCTGCAAAAGCTGGAACCTGTGAAAGGTACAAACATGTTAGAAAAGGAAGACTCCAATATTTTCCACTAACAGACAGAGATAAGAAAGTGATAAGACTATATCCTGGCAAAGGCAGGAAACTTGGGAGACATGGAAAAACAAGGCAGTCCTGTTGAATTCTGGCTCTCACAGGTTTCAGTAATAGTGAAAACTACATAGTTACAAGAATAAACACTAATCAATATGTTTAAGTGCTTACCAGTGCATCAAATACAAGAAAGTCATAAGTTTCGTTGTCTGACATTTCCATCATTATGTTAAAAAGTGCATCTAGTGTATCTTGCAAAAACTGAAGAGAAACAAAAAAAAAAAAAAAAGAAAGAAAGAAAGAAATTATTCTGGTGTTTTCAGTTCAGCTCCATTCTGCAGAAATATGGATAATGAGGGTTTAATAGTTTTTAAAACAGCATTTTCTTTAAGATTAGCACATTTGCCTACCATCCCAGGTAAAAGTTTTACATTTATAATAATTGTTTTCATTAAAATCTTATACTACTGATATAGCAGACATGAGGAGCTGTGATGGTTGGTGTGTAGTGGGTAAGTCATTTGGCTGCTAACCAGAAGGATGGCAGAATATTTCTAAGAATGAATATATAAACATACCTTTACAATTTCTCCTCCTTCCACCTCCATTAACTTCTTTAGGTTGTGTTTAATGTTCTGGGAGTTGGAACGCCAATTTAACAAGCCTAACAGGTCAACTTGAAAGAAGAAGCAAAAACCACACACATTAGATACTTATTGGAAGGAGTAACCACTTCAGGATACAACTACAGAAATTATCTTTCTGTAGAGATAAAATTCTCTCTAAAAAAGATAGCTGCTTTAATGGCAGCTCATTCAAGAAATAGATTATGTATTCTTTTAATGTACTGTCTCCAGTCTAAGTCAGAGAAAACTCTGTTGTCCTCTTTCATTCTTCTAGGAGAAAAAATTAACCACAAATGTATAAGAACATAAATGTTACCTGACTAGAACTTACATTTCTCAAATAATAACATCATTGTCATAAAGATTAAACCTATAAAGCACTCTCTTCTTCCTGTCCCTCCCCTCTGCCTCCTGGGAAGGAGAAGAGTGATACCAAAGCTTGTCCATATTTATGCAACCCTCTCACCTTTAATTTGCAAGATTATCTATCCCTCAGCATTATGGACAAGAGATACACACACATACACATACATAAATTCATTTAAACATTACAAGTACACGGCAGATTTTACCTTTTTGAATATTTTTAGATGAGAAAACTGAGGCTTTGTAAAATTAAATTACTTGCCTAAGATCACACAACTACTAGTGATTGGTAGCGATGGAATTTATTCATAGATTTACATGTTTCTGAAACCCATGTTCTTACTACTTTACCATATTGCCTTCCCAGAGTTCCTTGAAGAAATAAACAGACAAGCAAATCCACCTAGTTGCTATTCGAAAGGAAAGCAGAGCAGATTCACGGCCCTTCGGCTAAGTGCAGAAGTCTTAAAATACAGAATTATGAAATTTTAAGTCATTTACAGCTTTAATAAATGTCAAACTACAAGAAGTATCACAGAGAAACAGCAGTGGTTGTTGCTGTTGTTGTTGTTATGTGCCACTGAATCGGATCCAACTCGTAGCGACCCCTCCTTGGGTTTCCGAGACGGTATCACTACGGAAGTAGAATGCCCAATCTTCCTTCCGAAGAGTGGCTGATGGGTTTGAACCACCAGCCTTCTGGTTAGCAGTCAAGCTACCAGAGCTCCTTAGCAGTGGTTAAGACAATTAATATTTTGTCATTTTGTTTAGTACCTCAAACTACTATTATTATTTATAGAGCATTATTTTATACTCAACAGTAACTAGCAACAACAACATTTAGTAAAAGCAGCAACATGTACTTACTAGTAATTAACCAATTTTTGTAAATTTGATCTCTGTATATAGATAAATATAGGTTTATGCATCCCTGGGTGGCACAAACAGTTAACACGCCTGGCTGCCGACTGAAAGGTTGGAGGTTCAAGTTCACCCAGAGGGGCCTCAGAAGACAGACCTGGCAATCTACTTCCAAAAAAATCACCCACTGAAAAATCTACGGAGCATAATTCTACTCTGATATATACAGGGTCACCATGAGTCAGAACTGACTTGATGGCAATTGGTTTGTATATATATCTTTATCTATATTTGCACATGCATATTATTTATTCCACCAGCCTTCTGATTAGCAGTCAAGTGCTGAGGCACTATGCTACCAGAGCTCCCTATTATTTATTAGAATAGTCAATTTGTTTCACAGGTATATTTATTTTATTGGCTAGCATATTTTTAGCCACTGAGAAGCTTCCAAAGCCCAGTGTCTAACAATTCCCCACATCTATAACATAAAGTTCAATTACCTCACACAGAATTCAGTAGGCTTCCACCATTCAGTTTTCTTACTCCTCAGCAGTTAAACTGAACAACTTACTACTCCCCAACTATGACATGCTCTGAAATGTCTCCATGTCTTTGCATATGTTCTTCCCTTTGTCTGAAATGCCTAGAAACACTATGTATTTGGGGAGCTCCTACTTATTTCAAGATCCATTTCAAATTTTATTTCCTCAGGAAGCCTTACCCAATCCTTCTCCCCTGCCTGGACCCTTCATCCCAATAATTTTTGGGGAAGGTATATATATATATATATATTTTATTTCCTCAGGAAGCCTTACCCAATCCTTCTCCCCTGCCTGGACCCTTCATCCCAATAATTTTTGGGGAAGGTATATATATATATATATATTATAGCACATAATAGAGCCACACTTGCTGTTCCCTGGTTATTCCCCTATATTTAAGCCACTTGAGGGCAGGAACCATGTAGTATTCAATCTTATACTCCACCAGAATGCCAGACACCTTAATTAGATGCTCAATAAATGTTTGATGAAAGAATAAACGAATGAGTGCCAAACAAGACAAACTCACTGCCATTGAGTCAAATCCAACTCAAAGCAACCCCCATTAGCTTTCTGAGGCTATAAATCTTTATGGAAGCTGACTGCCTCATCTTTCATCTGTGGAGTGGCTGGCGTGTTTGAACAACCAACTTCTGGTTAGCAGCCAAATGCCTAACCCACTATATCACTGTTGTTGTCATTATGTGCCGTTGAGTCGGACCCAACTCATAGTGACCCCTCCTTGGGTTTCCAAGGTGGTTATCACTACGGAAGTAGATTGCCCAACCTTTCTTCCGAGGTGGGTTTGAACCGCCACCCTTCTGGTTAGCAGTCAAGTGCCTACTATACCACTTGTTGTTGTGTTGTTGTTATGTGCCGTCGAGTCGGCCCTGACTCATAGCGACCCCTCCTTGGGTTTCCGAGGCAGTATCACTACACCACTAGAGCTCCTTAAAAAAGAATTAGCAGTCCCTAAAGTAAGCTGATAGTGAGCTCAATCTGATTCATTACTTTATTAAGTCATTCAGCAAATATGCTATAATAGACAGTCACTGTGCTGGTACTGGTCCACTTTCATCTTCCCCATATTTTGTTTCTGCCATAGGCTGGTTGGTCAATGGTACCACTCATTACTTCACTCTACCCATTGCTACCTGAGAAAAAAGATTTAGATATGCCATCAAGGGTACATATTCAACCAGCAGCTTCAGCCCCTGCAAGAACCCATCCTCTCATCCACTGTTCCAGAGATGTGACATTTGGATGCCACATCACTGCTCAGAATAGGAATATGTTCTGGAATCTTGTGAATCATAAGGTTTAGGACTAAAATAGTGGTACCCTAGTGTTATAGAAACAGCATTAGACTTGCTATTTCAGAGGTTCATTCAGGTTGGTGCATGTAGCTCTAGTTAATTTATTTTCATTGTTGTGTAGCATTTATCTCATTGTATGGATATTCTACATTAATTTATCCATTCTACTGTCAGGTTATTTCCAGGTTTTTGCTATCACAAACAATCTACTATGGACATTCTAGTATGTTTCCTGATGCTTATGTACAGCAGCTTCTCTGGCATATAAAACTAGGAGTGGAATTGCTGGGTCATCAGGAATGAACATATTCAAACATACTAGATACTCCATAAATGGTATCCAAAGTGCCTAATCGTTGTTGTTGCTAGATGCCGTCGAGTTGTCTCCGATTCACAGTGACCCTATGTACAGCAGAACGAAACACAGCCCGCTCCTGTGCCAGCCCCATGATCCTTGCTACACCTGAGCTGTTTCCATCAGCAGTGTGTAAAAATTCTGGATAGTCCACATCTTTTCCAATACTGAGTTAAAAAAGCAAGTACAGAAGAAGTCATATAGCATGACTCTATACATATGAAGTGAAAAATATGCAAAACTAAACAATTTTGTGGGGATACAAACATTTGTAATAAAATGATAAAGAAAAGCAAGGAAATTATAATCCCTAAATTTAGGGTAGTGATCATCTTTGGGAAGGGATTATAGAAATGATAGAATGAGAGACCACATAATTTAAAAAAAAAAAAGAAAGGAAGGAAAAAGTCATAGTTTTTCAAAACCTAAGTCCTCCATTTATGACCTTAGGCAAGATTTTACCACTTTAAAACCAAACTTGCCCAGCAGTAGACAGACCCTTAGTGGTGCAAATGAGTAAGCCCTCAGCTGCTAACAAGAGGTTGGTGGTTCAAACTCACCCAGAGACTCCATAGGAGATAGACTTCATAATCTGCACCTGTAAAGATTACAACCAGGAAAACCCTGTGGGGAAGTTCTACTCTGTTACACTGGGTCACTATGAGTCAAGATTGACTTGATGGCACCTAGTAACAACAAACAGGAGGATAATTGATATTTCTATGTCCTAAGGTCCTGGGGGGTAAAATGAGGTCACAGTTATAAATGTTTCAGCACAGGGCCCTACACCTGCAGGGACTTGATACATGAAGGGAGCAGAACTCCCTTTTCCCTTTCCTAGAGCAATAAATCTATTCTTACCCTCAGTACTGGCCTAGCAACAAAATGATCCCATACAAATTGATTTGTTCTACTTAAGTGAATGAATGAATGAATGAGATTCTACAAAGTCTATTTGTAATAAGTCCTAGTGGCATTTAACCTTTGGAGTCTGAATAGTGTCTTAGGAGAAATGCCTTTGGTCACAGTCTCAGGGTAAAAGGAGAACAGCTACACTCTTTGATTAGTGAACCCCCTTATACAGCTGATGATTTATTAATGTTCTTCAGCTTGTTTTTTTTCCCCCTAGAATAAATTCTATTGGTTCTTTGTAATTTCTATTAAATATGGACCAAATGTATAAACAACCCAGTTATTTGTCTCTTGGAATGCCAAGCTTTCTCTGATGCTCTGTGATGTCTCTCTTTCTCTGTTTCTTTCTTGCCCTACTTTCTGGACCATGCAGGGAGCAGATCATTGTGCTGACTGACATGCAGGCCACCTCTTTAATCCTTGGGATAGTTTTTTTTCAAAAAATAAATTGAGTTTTTTAAAAAATCTGTATTATCAGGAATGGGGATGACAAAACAATGAGTGCACAACTATCCAACAGAACTTTCTGTGATGAAAGAAATGTGCATCTATGCTGTCCATAGTATATCTACCACTAGCCACAAAAGATTACTGACACTTGAAATGTCACTCGTATGACTGGGGGATTTAACGCATAATTATATTTAATTTAAATGTCACTAACTACATGTGGCTAAAAAAAAAAAACCAACTCACTGCCATTGAGACGGATCTGATTCATAGCGACCCCTCCCTGGGTTTCCAAGGCAGTATCACTAACCTTCCTTCCAAGGAGTGGTTGGTGGGTTTGAACTGCCAGCTTGCTGGTTAGCAATCAAATGCCTTAGGCACTATGCTACCAGAGCTGGCTACTATATTGGGACAGCACAGGTTTAGAGGCATTTAGCAGATGGGTTGACTTAGATACCAATAAATCAAATGTTTAAATTGAGCATGTGCTACCTCTCAATAAAAGTGCCTTCATTCTTGAGATGGTAGTAATAAACAACTTAATAACAGTTATCTCTAACAAAAATTCCTTTGCTTTTTGTTAATTTTATAAACTTATATTATTTATTTTGTTCTCCTTTGAGCTCTAGTCTAGAAAGGATAATCTATTAGATGTTTAATAAATGCTGTATACCCTTAGAATATTCCTTGATGGTTCCCAAAAGTGCATTGATATTTTCTATAGCTTCTTATAACAGCTCAGGTGGTATAGTGGTTCAGTGTTCAGCTGCCAACCAAAAAGTTGGCAGTTTGAACCCACCAGCCACTTTGTGGGAGAAAGATGAGGCAGTCTGCTTCCGTAAAGATTTACAGCCTTGGAAACTCGATAGGGAAGTCTACTCTGTCTTATAGGGTATCTATGAGTCAGAATTGACTTGATGTCAGTCGATTTGGTGTTGGTTCATCAGAATATACACACAAAAAAAATTAAATAAGAATTATTCAAACTTATGGAATTATTCCTTTTAGATAGTCTTTTTCTGTGTACATTATTATGATACTGATAATAATGATAGCTAACATTCATACAGTGATTACTATGGCCTGGTATGGTTATATTTACTCATTTTCACTTACATTTGTTTATTTCACTTTTTGAAATATATACTATTATTACTCTCATTGTGAAGATGAAGAAACCAAGACACAGCTACCAAGTAGCAGAGCTAGGATTTGAACCCAAGCATTTGACTCCAAATTGCCTTTACTTTATGTGTTTACACAAAACATTAGACAGTACATACTGCTAAAATTTTCCCCATGTCCTTCATTATTTTTATTTTTTTAATTGTAATTTAGGTGAAGATTTACAGAGCAAATTCACTTTCCATACAGCAGTTCACATACGCTTTGTCTCATGACACTGACCATAGTTTACCACAATGCAACAGCTCCCCTCCCACTTCCTCCCCATAGTTACCTCTTCCCAGTGTCCATCCCTCCATGCACTCCTGCCCCCTGAGTTGTCTCCCTGTGCATAAGTAGCCCTTCTTTCTCCCATGATTGCTCTCTCCAAGGATTGTATCTACCTGAAGTAAATGTTCAACTCATATGCCTGTCTTTTGTTTGGCTGGAAACCACGGGTATGGGTTCAATTCCAGACCTGGCCCTTCATTATGTTTTGAAATACAATATTTAACAGCTGAATATATCATATCATATAATTACATTACATAATTTACTCAAACTAACTCCCACTCAGACATTTGGGGTGTTTCCAGTATATCTCTATTATGAATAATGGGAAAACATCCTCATACATAAATTGTCACATCTCTCATTGTTTACTTAGGTTCAGTTTCTAGGAATTAAATTACTGCGTTAAATGTCCAAATACATTCAAAATCTTTGATTTATCTTCTAAAGCATCTTCTATAAATACTGTACATCTATGTGCCAATCAGCAGTTTATTATTTTACTTTTCCATAACAAGAGTTATATAACCGATACAATTTTGTCATGTCTTCTCTGAAGCTCAGAATGTTTTCTGGCTTAGTATTTGGCAAGTATGCTTTTACTTTCCCATATGCATCAGCCCTGAACTTCACTCTGTTGAGTCTAGCTACTTGTCCAAGTTGAAATACTACCCTTATTCTCTAGCCAACCATGATTCATAAAAAAAGAAAAACCATGCTGACCCCCTCTAAAGATCAATCACCACTTGATCTTTGAGAGTACTGTATATCTAAACTGTTTTGTCTATCTTAAGACTTCCATGAAACAGAACCCCTGCCAAGTACTGGCTCATATCTTCTAAGATGCCAAATGAACTAATGGTCTACACAGTATACGGGGTATAGAATTTCGATGGCAAGTCCCCTGGGCAGCTAATTCTTGGCTCACAATGTTCAGTAAGATGTCCTACACACTACACAGGTTAAATGAATTAGAAGCTGTTATTGGCTCTGAAATGTCATGTTATATATCATAGAAGTTAAGAGTGTTATTAGAGATTTGAAGGAAAAACAAAATAAAACTCCATTTGGACTGGTCAGCTGACTTTATGGAAAATTCCTGACTTCCTGGAAAAAATAGGGAAGAGGAGAACAAATGGGGCAAAGACAGAATTCTAACATGAACCTTCCCTGTTCTTTGCCATACCTGGTTGGGCAAGAAACTGATTATGTTCTTTGTGAGCATTATCCCTTTATTACCAATATTTCTTGTTATATATACTAAACAGAACACATTATTAGAGGTCTTTGTTGCCTTTAAGGAAAGAAACATAACACTTCTAAAATTTCACAGCTTTTGTTAACAAATACATTAATAGCCTTCATGAAATTAAAAAATACTGAAATGTTTTTCATCCTATCTTAAAGATGGGCAACCAAAACCACAGAAGGAGCTTTAGCTATTTGTCAGTACCACCCAGAGTATCATTTGAAAAGCAGAAAAAAACTCTGAAATGCCCAGCACTCGGCCTCAGAAGACATACCCCATGTGGTCCAGCCCCATGCATCTAACAAAGATGCCCAGGAAGACCAAGCAGAAAGTTCATTCTGAGCCAGTGTGGTCACACCTACCATTCTGGGTTAGCTTTGTGGAGCAAATGAGGGTGGCAATCTGAAAGCTGTCTTTTGTGCTATCTTTGGTTGGGGTAAAGTTGGCCAGGTTTTTGGATGCCTGGAGCTCTTTTTCTTCCATCTCCACCTTGGTGCCTGGCAGGGTCAGGTAGAATTTAGCATCTTCCATTTTCTTGTTGTCACCCTGAGGAAAACAACATGTTAGGAACACCAAATGATTGGCAAAATCTCTTATATGCAAATAAAAAAAAATTTTATTGAGAATATGGTATATTTGTTCTTAACATAAGAATCATGGTTTCATTAAATTACATTTAATATCCTTTCCAAGTGATATTTTGATATTCTCCTACAGAAGTTGAAGTTATAGCCCAGAAATAGTGAATTTTTTTAATGAAAATGGAGTAAGTTGTGAGCTAGAAACCAGAATATCCTAATCTCTAATAAACCAAAAAAACCAAACTCATTGCCATCGATTTAGCAAATATACGAGGAATTTAGGTGTTTTTTTTTTTTAACCATAAATGGTCACAATGATACTTCATTGGGTTGAGGGAGGAAGAAATAATGTGCTGTAACTTCTAAAACTATTTACAAACTAAGGAACCTGAGTTAAGGAAAATATATGTTGGCTAGATGCAGCACAGAAAAAACTGCCAGGCCCCCTGGATACTGTTAGATAAGACAAGATCTCCCAGTATCTGCACTATACTCTAAAATCTCAGTAGAAGTGATGGCTCAGCAGCAGTTAGGAGGCAAGAATGGGAACAAAACTGTTAAGGAAGGAAAAAACACCCCTATAGCATAGTAATGCTGCCTGGCTCATAGTGATATGAAAACCACATCCTACCACAACCACCACACTGTAACCAACCCCCACCAGTGCAACTGTCTACACTCCAGCAGGATGATGCAGGAGTAGAAGAGAAGTCAGACGCTTTACCATTCACTTGCTGCAGAACACCATTTGCAAGAGTGGATGAGATACCTTTTAGAAAACTAAGTAATAATGCAAGTCACTCTTTCCAGAATGGGGATGGGAGATCACACGGCTGGTGTGACCATAGCCCTGTAGGATTCTAGACATTAAGAGGCAAACAAGAATAGCACTCTAGAGGTTTCTGATATGTGTACACAAGAAAGGGGTCTTCAAAGTCAATCTCAATGGGAGTCAATAATTCTCAGCAGTTCTCTGAGCCTTGTTCTTTCAGTACCACCTTATAAACCACAAGATCATGCCTCCCGTCCTGCAGAGTGGTGCCATCCGGGTTCATCAGTTTCACGAAGGCCACCCCAAATGCTCGCTCCGATTTATCTCTGGCTGAAAAGACAGAAATATGTATCTGAGCCATGCAGACACCAGGAGGTGATGGCTGTGACACATCTTACTCTGGGATGAGATGTTCAATTACACTGTAACAAACACAGTACAGCAAATGACAGTAAGCTATACATACTATTTTAGAGGAAATTATTTCCCACATTGAAGTCTTTTTTCACCTTTCAACATTCCCTTTCAACATTCCCTGATGAATGAGATCAGCATCCACCCAATAATCCAGAGCAGAAGTGTCAGTGTTAATACTACTTTCCCCTCATGTCACCTTCATGTCTTGAGGACCACTAGAACCTCTCCTTTTCTCTCTGTCCCTTCTGTTCTTAACTGAGTTCAGCCTACCTTTACCTCTTTGCTATACTTTTACAAAAGCTTCTCACCTAGTCTGCTTGTTGTTGTTGTTGTTAAGTGCCGTCGAGTCATTTCCGACTCATAGCGACCCCATGCACAGCAGAACGAAACACTGCCTGATCCCACGCCAGCCCCACAATCCCTGCTATACTTGAGCCCATCATCGCAGCCACCGTGTCAATCAATCTCCTTGAAGGCC